CTCAGTGGAATAAGCGCTTCCCTGGCAAGTGCAAGGCTGAGTTCAATCCCCGGTTCCGCAAAAAAAAAAAAAAAAAAAAAAAAAAAAAAAAAAAAAAAAAAAAAAAAAAAAAAAAAAAAAAAGAAGTGCACTTTTATCCAGGAAGTCAGTACTGCTTCATAGGAAGCACAACTGACAACACCTTACATTGTGATAGCAGGTACATTCATTACCACTTACACCTGCAGCAGGACCCTGGGCCCCAGGCAAAACTCTCTGGCCACTACTGAGTGCATGGAGACAGATATCTCCAAAGCATCCTGAGAGGTCTCCAGATGCTTCCAGAGAGGAACTGCCCCATGTCCTGCTGCTTGTGTTAGGGGTCCAGATTGGAGAAGATCAGTATCTTAGAACCTCATAATGTACAAGGAAAACTATGACCCAAATTAAGAATGTGACAAGTGGCATAATGGGGATCTGAACCAAGGTCTGTATGATGATGAGCCCCCCCAACTTCTAAAAGCTACTCCAGGCTGAGGGTACTGCAGTTATCTTTCTTGGATATATAATAAAAGCTTATTGAAAACATCCACTTATTTATGACAAGGAATGGTCTGTGCTGAGGTTTAGGCTGGGGATTTAAGGGATTTTGACCAAGGAGGAACTGTCATGTCCTCTGGTGTGGAGGATCAGGGAAACCAGAGAAAATGGGACTGCGATCAGTTGTTATACCACCCTTCCTCACTGGGAAATACAGATAGTTCCTTTATCCAAACCACTTGGGACCAAGTACTTCAGATCTTGGAATTTTTTTCAGGTTCTAGGATATTTGCACATGCATAATGAGGTGTCTCCTTAAGACAGGATCCAGGTCTAAGCACTCAGGTCATTTTTGTTTCACAATAACTTACACACACAGCCTGACAGTAATTTCATATATATTTATAGCATCTACATTCTGATTGTGACATGTCAGGAGGCCAGGTAGGGAACAGTCCACTTGGCAAGCCATGTGGACTCAAGCTGTTCTGGATTCTGGAGCATTTCTGGATTAAGAATGAACAACCTATACTCATTCTGAAGTTCTCTGTTTAACAAGGAAGGCTAGTATCTTGCCTTCCAAAGGGTTTTTCTGTCAGTACTTGAAAATGTTTTAGGATAACTACAAGGGATAAAGCTGTACTTGCAAAACACTGGGAATGTTCTGGGGGTGTCCCTAATCTTGGTCCCCCAGCTGGAGAAGTCAAAGAGGGGAATTTGGGACTTGAAAATGTGCAATATGCATTTACTAGCCTCACATTCCATAACCTCCCTGTGCCTCAGTTTTCTCAGTTATAAAATGGGAACAGACAGTAATTCCTTTGAGAATTATTGTGAAAATTAGAGATAAAGAACATAAGAGATACATCTTTCCAGCAACAGTTTAGTAGTATGCTTGCCTAGTACGTATGAGGCTCTGGATTTGATCCTCCAAGGTGGATATGAAACCATGTAAGATACTTAGCCAAGACTGGGCGTGGTGATGTGCGCCTTGTAATCCCAGCTCTTGGGAGGCTATAAACAGGCGGATCACTACGAGTCCGATCTAGGAGTGAGACCCTGAACACCCTGTAGACCCTTCCCTAATATACAAAAAAAAAAAAAAAAAAAAAGATACTTAGCCCAATGATGGTATAGAGTAGGTTCTCAAATGATGACTCTGAATGTCCAGCCCCATTTTTCCGACTGAGGATACCAATGCACAGGCTCTCCCAAGTAATTTCTTTGAGAACTATAAATAATCTTTCCTTGCAAATGAGACAAAGTACAAGGTATGTGTGCATTAAGCATGTAATTACGTATTTGCATACGCACTTACTCTAAACCAGAGTCAGATAATCAGTACCTTCACTGCATTCACGAGGCTCTGATGCTGTCCCTTCTGCTCACCTTCTGATCTTGGATGCTGACTAAAGACTTCCCCAACCATCAAGTCAGCCCTCAGGGGTAATATCCCACAGCCAGGTGCAGGAGAACAGAGCACACGACCAAGCAAGTTCATCAGCAAGCATCACTAACTGTCACACCTCCTTTCCCTCCCCTTCTTAGCTCCTATATACTAGCTAGGCCTATGCCTTTGATCTGAAAGTATATCTGTGTCTACCTTTCTCCCATCTCTATGACTATTCCCACAGCTTTGTTAGAAGCTTGCAAAACTTGCAATATCACATGCAGCGGGTCCCTTCTAATCCATCCCTGCAGTAAGAATGAACATTCCTTTAATACCTCCATTTCTCCAGCACTTCCCTGCCTCTAGACCGAAGGAAAACTTCATCGGCTTACACTGCCAACAACTCCCTACAGGGAGTCTCATCTTCTGTCTTCAGCCACCTGGCTCCCTATCTCCCCACCACTATCCTATCAGCCCTTCAATCCTGCCTACTGAAGTACTACTTTCTTGGGGATGCCTACCTTATCCTCAAGATAAGATTATTATTGGGGGATCCCAAATAAGATCTCACTCCATCAGGCCCTCTCCTCAGTCAGATTTGTAAATGGAGTATCCTTTTATAGTTAGTTGATTTTTCTTTCTCTTCTTCAAAATACATTTGATAAATACTTAGGGAATGAACTGTGTGATCCTGTATACCTACCACATATATAAAATCTCTGCTATAGGTGAATCAAAGAAACTCAAAGCCCAATGCAGCCCTGGCTCACAGGAACCAAGAGACCTGACAGGATGCTCCTCCTACATACAGCCAACAAGGCAGTGACCAAGAGACACCAAATGAGCTAAGCTCAATTCAAGAGAAGACTGAATTCCCAAAGGAGCGATGGTCTATGGAGGGTCTAGGAGGAGGTGGCCCAGGTCCTGCAGGCATTGGCAGAATTTAACCAACACATGGAGAAGGAGGCCTGTCCACACCAGGACCCACAAGAAAGGCAATGTTGGACAGAGGCAGGGTGCTGACAAGCTGTAGATAGGCCTTAAAAGACAGGAGTCCAGTTGTAGGCTTTTCAAAAGTTAAAAAAAAAAAAATTAAAGCTTCAGAGAACAAGAACTGGGAAGCAGTAATTTAAGGGACTAATATACACACATACATACTTGTCCCTACCTATAAAGCCAAACATAAATTCTTCCAAGCCCAGAAGCTACTCTGAGTGAGAAATGGAACAGGGCACACATGGACACAATCTTTTTGAAGGAAATCAGGATGTCTCTGGCTAAGATGACTTTCAGAACCACTAGGCACCAGGTTTATGAGGGGCCACAGATAGAGCTGGCCCTTCTATCTTTTTTGTTTGTTTTGTTTTGTTTTTGGTGGAACTGGGGATTGAGCTCAGACCCTTGTGCTTGCCAGGCAAGCACTTATTCTACTGAGCCATCTCCCCAGCCCCTGGTCCTTCTATCTTAATGCTGACCCAGGCTATCCTCTGACCAGGACAAACTTGAGGCAGTTAAGTTCCCAAGGTCTTCTCAGCCACAGGGCATGCTGTAATCCCAGTTTCTAAATTGGGTGTATGAATGTAAGTTACTATAACTCAGGGAGCCATATGCAACATCCAACTCCAGTCCTCACACTTCTCCAGGGGTCCAAGCATGCACTTGGAGCTGACAGTCTCAAGCATAGCCTCAGGTACCTTCCAACGAAATGACACAGGAGGTGACTAAATGCCCATCTCTGTGACCCTGTCTATGGCTCTCAGGCTGTGGCCAGAAGTCTGCCAGCCCCTTAGGCAATGAAGGTGCTCAACAGCCCCTGACTAAAATGAGTATTTCCTTCAAAGATTTGAACTGATGGATTTGAATTTCACATCAGGAACTTAATTTTTGTTGTTTGATGACTGAGAGTTTCTTATAGCAATAGTCTCCAAATTTGTTACATATTCTCCAGGTATTACTCCAGGCTGGAATTCAAAACAATAAAAGTAAGCTTCCATGCAGCATTCTCCCCAATCATTCATCACATGCAACACGTCATGCAGGGTACTCAAGGTATCTAGAGGAAAGAAGACATCCCACAGCAGGAGGGTGGACATAGTCTATGGAACTGCTAAAGGTTACATGCCTTCCACAGGTGGGATTATAGATCAGATTGTGCAATTTGGGAAAATAACTTGTACAAGGAAGTAGTGCCTTAAAGAGATTCCTGAAGAGAATTTCAGACCTTCTAATGGCTGTGTAAACCAAATATGGGAGAAGTGACACCTCCAATGTGAGAAAGTCATGTCAGACACAGAAGGATCAAACACAGGAAGGTTCTAATCAGGTCCAGAAAGAACTTGGTCCAAGTTATTCAAAATTACAGAAATTATCTACAATGTGACTGTTCACCCTCCTCCCCACTACAGTACTTCTTGTTAAGTTGCCTGGGCTGGGCTCCAGGTTGGGATCCTTCTGCCTCAGCCTTCTAATAGCTGGAATTAGAGCTGTGTACACACAGTCATCCATTATCTTTAAAATCAGATCAGACTCATTTGCATGAGGATCTGTGTAGTTCGTGCTGTACTACAGAGATCATAATTAGCAAATATTTAAAATATTTTAAGTAAATTCAAAAGTGTTTTGTGAAATATTTCATTACTCTCATCCTCTTTAAGTTTTTCTCTTTGTAGGTTTTATATAACACATATTGGTACACAGCAGATTGCGCATGAATTTTTTTTCAACAAGATCTTGCTGTGTAATTTAGACTGGCCTTGAGTTCACTATGTAGCCAACATTGGTCTTGAATTCAGTGAACTTCCTGTCTCAGCCTCCCAGGTGCTGGGATGACAGGTGTGTGCCACCAAGCTCAGCTGGTGCATGATCTGATGTAAGCAAAAACCTTTGATCAGAAATGCGAAATTGGGACCGTGAGCTTAACGTGCGTATGTGCGTGTGCGTGTGTATGTGCGCCCGCGTGCTTTGAGTCAGCTTAGCCAGCCTGAGGTCCCCTCCCAGTTCCCTATCTGAAGCCCTCCAGCACAGGAAACCCTCCATCCACTCAGAGCGCAGGGCGAGGCTGGGGCCTGGCCCCCGCCCTCACGGCACCTACCTGGTTTTGCCAGCGGATGACGTTTCCAAAGCCCCCAGTCCCCAGCCTCTCTTTCATTTCCCAGGACCCGCAAGTCTGCGTTGGCAGCGAAGGTGACCAGCTCATGCTGCCGCTGCTGACTCTGCGAGCAAGCGGGGTGGGGGGAAGACGTTAAGAGAAACCACCGAGACCAGCTGGCGGCCTCGGAGTCGTCGCCCTGCGGGAGGGAGCGGACCCTGAGCTAGCTCTTCCCCCGGGAAGGGGCAGGTGGGGCGCTGGCGGCCCGCGGACCCGGGCAGTCACCCCGGAAGGGTTCCCGCTTGTCACCCCCGCCACGCGTGTTCGCAGCGTGCGGTGTCCCGGCCGCCCACAGCCCCTCGACACATGCCCGCGCCAGGAGCCCCGACTTCGGCGCCCCTCGCTCTCGCGCGCCGCCCGGCGGGAGGCGCGGGGCGCGGCGGGACTCACTTCACCGTCGTGGCGCGGGGGCGGGGCGGACCTACGACGAAACTGGGACCCTGGAGCTGGCGCGCGGCCCCTGCCTCCTCCTCAGCGCTTCCGGGTCTGACGTCACGCACGCGTGGCTGGCCCTTAAAGGGGCAGCCGGGACACCAGCAACAGGCGTTTCCGCCCAGACGGGCGGTTGTGCGTGCGTGCGTGCGGGCACGGCTGGGAGTCGGAGATGCCGTCTCGCTTAGGTGGCTCTAGGGTGGGCCCCACTGGCGTGAGGATCCCAGTCCGCGGGGCGGGACGCAGCGTGGAGATTTCCTGCTGGAGCCCGTGCAAGACACGGAATACCCCGTTCTAGGTGGGGAGGTGTGGCGGGGTATGTCGCGAGTGGTCGGACGGCGTGGCCCACGCATCTGCGAACAAAGATCCCAGGAGTGGGGAACCCAATGCGGAGGCCACAGACTTTCTGAGCATTTATTTAAGTCTGAGCAAGGCTGGGCTACCAGGCCAGGAGCCAGTGAACAGAGGAGCAGGAGCTCTCTCCCACCAGGCCAGCACCGGGGATCAGAGCCCAGTGGGCCTCAGGGCGACCCTGGCTGGTAGAGCCAGCAGGCTGGAAGGTGGAGTGCCGGTCGCGCACAGTTGCCGATCACTGCGAGAACACCGGAGGCCATGGGCATTGCATCCATAGGTGTTAGGCTAGAAGACCCTGCTGAAGAGTAGCCGGAGGTTTTTGTCTTTTGTACCGCAGAGTTTGATACAAACTGTGTTAATCTAGTGGCATACAAATAATATGCTAATCCCGTGGTGATAAAAATGTTTTTAAGACACAAATGCATTATTTAGAAGACATTTTCAGCTTCTCAAAAGGAACAAAACTAGATAAGTTCTTTTGGTGCATGGGTCATATGGTTACAAGTTATGGCACAGACACAGGGATCAAATGGCTATCACAAGTTAGCTGAGAAAGTAAGTAAACTTGCTAGAAAGTAAGTTTAGAACCATACAGGAGCATATGATGGCTTCTCTCCTGTTCACCAGACCTGTGTGAGGCTGCCTGGCCACCATCAGGGAAGATCAGTCAAGCCTGCTACTCAGAAGTGACAGTTCCCACCTCCCCCCAAAGAAAGAAAAGACAGAAATGGTCAGGCTACATTGTAGTCCCCTGCCATGGGAAAGCTTCTGGACAACCCTGTCCAAAATGCTTTTGCTGCTCCTGCACTGCTACAAATAGCAAGGGCTTCCCTTGCTGAGAGAGAGAATGTATTAAAACAAATGGCATTTGTGAAGTGCTTACTTTGTGCCAGGCATTATCTTAACCTATTTATTTTTTTAGTCTGAGACAGGATCTGCCTATGTAGTTCAGGCTGGCTTTGAGCTCACTTTGTAGCTCAAGGCTGGTCTTGAATTCACAAGGATCCTCTGGCCTCAGCTGCCCAGATCCTGGGATTACAGGCTTAGGCCACTGTGTCCTACATATTTAGGTTTCTTCAATCCTCAGAACAAGCCTACAAATTGAATGCTGCCACACTATCATTTTTACCTCTTTTTCCAATGAGAAGACTGGTGAAGAGAAAGGGCAAGCCCTTATCCCTCAGTCGCAGAGCTACAAACCGGAGGAACTGAATTTCAAACCCAAGCAGTGGCCTCCTAGGTGCAGATTCTCAATATCTGATTGGAAGTACTATGCTGAGCAAGTCACAAGGAGACAATTTTTGACTCCAGAGCCTACTATGGGCTGCCTATATGTTAGGACTAGTTACTTAATTCAGACTTCTGTCTCCTCTTCTTAAAATGTAGGCAGTATTTGGTTGAATTGCATGAAATTGTCATTTATTTTAGAAATCAAAGACAGTGAAAATATCAGGAAGATTAGCAGTTTCATCTGGGTGGGACTAACGGTAGCGGAACAACAGTGCATAAGTCCAAGGAGGCTAGCAGAGTTGTGAGGGGCAAACAGGGTGCTGGGAGGAGCATGGAACACTCAGTGGCCCACACAGCCAGGGACTGAGGTTAATTGAATAAGGTATCTAAAGCAGGTGCCACTCCTCTGTGTGCACCAGCATTGTTGGAAATTGAACCCCAGGCTTTGTGCACACTAAGCACGTGCTTTACTCCTGAGCCACAGCCCTAACCCCTGCTTAGCAGTTCTTGATCACTCTGTAGTCATGGTTACAGCGCGCACACAGCCTCAAAGCACGAGGAAAAAGAAATGAGTCCATACTCAGAAAACACCAAAAATAGTGCGTGGCAGAGTGTAAGTGCAGTGTTTGTTTACTAAATTTTGAAATATTATTCAGTACCTGTACCTGCAGAACACTGTAGAGTCTGTTTCCTATTTGATGTCTTTCTATAATCCTATCACCTCTATAAATCACTCTTCTGAAAAACTTACCAAGACATCCACCTATAGGCCAGAGGCTTTCAAGACATCCACTTACAATGCAGAGGCTTTCTCTACACCATAGTAATGTGAGCTCTCATATTGTTCAGCTCAAAATAACTTGGTTTTCAACTGAACATAAATCTCTCTGATAAGATTGTGTATTAATAGGCTTTAGGCATTTTTTTAAAAAATAATGATGGCCCAGGAAGGAGCTTCTGAATTTTATCATAGTCCAACCAGGATATTTATCATTTTAAGCCCTTTTCCCACCGGATAAGATGGTATCCAGATCTCTGCTGCATCTGGTCTGTGTCCTGTTCCAGAGACATGAGCAGACTGTTGACAGACACACACAAAAGGGTGTTTTTCTTTGTGCTTTGAGGCTGAGTATACTACTTAGCTGTGACCTTCAGGTAATTAAGAAATATTGAGCATCTAAGCTTTAAACATCATCAGCCTCTGGGTATTCAAGCAACATAACTCATAGCAGAGATACTTCAAATCTTACTGGGAGACAATGGAACAAGAGAGACAAAGCACAGGCAGTATTATTATTATTATTATTATTATTAATTTTGTGTATTTTGGATAAGGTCTTACTATACAGATCAGACTTTTGTGGTAATCTTCCTGTTTTCAGCCTCCCCAGTGCTGGGATTACAGGCATGCGCCACCACCCCCACACTGGGTCATTGGCTCAGTGCGCCCTGGGGGACAGGGCCCGTGCAGTATGTGGGAGCAGAGATCAAACCCTGGTCCCTGCTCTTGCCAAAGCAGACACTTACTGAGCTATGTCCCTGGCCCTCCAGGGAGTATTAATTTGCTCTGGGGCAAAGAGAGTATGGCACCAGTGATACAGATAAAGTGTCTAAGCATCATTAAGCTTAAAATAAAATCTTGTTCTTAGAAGTCAGAAAAAAGTATCGTCTTTCTCAGTCTTGAAGGTCACTGAATCATTACATTTGCTCTCTACCCTAATAGAAGCCAGACAAAGCAGCACTAATTGCTCTTCGTGATGAAGGAACCATTTCCTGCATTCACACAAAGATAGAAATTAACAGGACAGGGCGCTCCATTCACCCCACCCCCGCAGAGTCAGCCGTGATCGTGATTTCAGCTACGGTTTCATTACTCTTCCAAGAATGTTTTAGCCCTGCAGAGAGGATTCTGCAGGTCAGGTCTCGCTCCTTCAACAAATGTTCCTCCACCGGGAAAGTTAGAACTCATTTAGTTGGAGAACATGAAGAAATCTGCCTTTCTTTCAGGGGAGTTGGTGAGAGACAGTGTAGGCTGGTGGAATCTGATGGTGACAGTGTGCCTTGGCCCAGCCTTTGTAAGCTCAGCACAAAGCCATGCAGAGAGAAAAGAAAGAAAGGGAAGCCAATTGCTAAGGAGGTGCTCAGCCAATGGCAAAAGTTCAAGAGCCATAGGCCCTGAGCAGAATCAAATACAAAAAGCCAAGGATTTAACCTAGAGTCACCCTCCCTGAAGGAATGATATCTTGGGAGAAGGAGGCATTTGAGAAGCTCCCTTCATTTTTACACATGTTTTTATTTCAGTAATTCAAATCAAAGAGAAAGAAATCACCAAAGGACAATTGCCTACCTCTTAGCGAGGGAGTGGGGGAGGCATATATGTTCATACTGCCTGCAGGTGTGTTTCTTAGCTTAGCTCAGTTCTGAGCACCTGCTCTGGTTCCCTGGGGGCAAAGATCCTGTGTACTGCTGCATCTGGTGCTGAGTACATCATGAGTGTACAATTACATTTGTACTGGATGAATGATGGAATTGGCCAATGCAAAGATTGGTGGTTCCCACTCTAGTGTTTGAGAGAAATGGATTCCAACCCAGAATCTACCTTTTTTGAATTTGTGAACACAAGCCATAAAACTTACCTCACTGGGATTTAGTTTTATGCTCTGTAAAATGTGGACTAAAAAAATACTTATGATATTTATATCTCTGTCTGTCTATCTACCTATCTATCTACCTATCTATCTGTCTATCTATCTATCAATCAGACCCAGATGTTTATTGAACCCTTTTTAAATAATAATTTTTTTTTTTTGTGACCCACTCAGCCCACCCTGGGAATGGGGCTGGCGTGACACATGGTGCCGGGGATCAAACCACAGTCCCTGCGCTTTGCCAAAGCTTGCCCAAGCAGGCGCTTTAGGCTGCTGAACTATCTCACCAGCCCTGAATAATAATTATTAATGCTGTTATTTTCTTATGTGTGTGTGGTGCTGTGGGTACTAAGGACTGAACTCAGAGCTTTGGGCATGAAGCACTGTCACTGAGTTACACTGATCTCTGTAGGAACCTGTAATCAGCTGCGATCTCTATTCTTCAGGATTGAAGCAACATGTGCCCAAGTATCCCTCTGTTCCCTTGAAATACAGGTTCTCTGACTTTTACCTTTCCTACCTTATCAGGACATTAAAACCCAAGATGAGATGGCTCATATGGGGTGAAGAGTGCTATGTTTTTTACTCATTTCTGGGTCAGATTGCCTACTTTTGCTAAATTCTTATTTTGTACTGGGAAGGCAACCTTGTGCTTAGGAGGCAGGCAGTGTACTGCTGAACTCCATCCCCAGCCCCTATTTATTGTGTTGCCACTATACACTGATCATTCATGGCACGTATCTTTCATTTTTTTTTTCCGGAACCGTGTATTGAACTCAGGCCCTTGTGCTTGCCAGGCAAGCGCTTATTCTA